GCAGCGGCCGCGGCCGCCGGTCCCCGGGACGCGCCGAGCGCGGGAGGTTCCGCCGTTTCTTTGGAGTGACTCCTTCAGCGCTGACGAGCGTTGCGACTCCTCCCGCAGCGTCTGCCTTGGAGAGCGCAAAATCGTCACCTCCAGATGTCGTGTGTCGGCCGGCGCCCACGCTGGGGAAACCGAGGCATCTCTGGGCCTGGCGACCGGACACGACCCTGACACTTGGGGGGTGGGAGGCCTAGGCCCCGACAGACGCACAGCCCCGGGCTGGGGGTGCCACCGACCCAGGCCAGGGCATCTGACACTGCCCCCCGTTCAGGAAAAAAGTCCCTAAAGAAGCACGTGCCAGCGCCGTCTGGGCCTCCACCAGCCAGGTCCCCGTCACAGACACGTCCTGTCCGCACAACACTTAAGAGACGTTTGACACCGAGTGTGCACTTAGCTAATGCCGGTGCGTCGGCCTTGGAGCAGGCGCGTCTGGGAGGGTGCGGGGACCCCGTCCTCTGCTCCCGGGCGCGAGCGAGAGGGGCAGCTGTCTGGATGCCGGGATGGGCGTGAGAGGCCCCCGCAGCTGGCCGCGCAGGCTCCGCCCCCGCAATTTAGGCAGGACATTCTGCAGACGCGGCGGTGGCGAGTGGCACGGGGCCAGGGGCAGGGCCCGAGGGAGGCTGGTGACACGGACGTCTGCGTCCCCACTCCTGGTGGAGTGAGGTGCAGGGGCAGCGTGGGCCTCACCCGCGGGCCGCCGGTTGGCGTTCAGGTGCCGTGCCGGGCTGAGCCGGGCACCGCCGTCCCCGAGGAGGCCCGGGATTCAGAACGAGGAGCCCGCAGCCGCCTCGGCTCCCGAGCCCCATTCACGGTTACAACTCTGACTGGAGAACGAACTTCTCCAGATACAAACAGCACTCCAGCTGGCCTCGCTGGCAAGCCCTCAAGGACCCCCCCGCTGGGACAGTTCTCTGCCTGGCCCCCACGATTTGCATAGCACGGCTTAGGACTGGGAAGCCCGGTCCCCTCCCCTCGGCAGGTCGCCCTGACCTGTGTGAGATGACTCTCTGCATGGGGAGCATCTTGCATGTGACACAGTGACCTCCTGCCCGTCCAGCCTTCCCTCCATCCCTCCCTGGGCAGCCATGGGCGGAGTCAGAAGGGGCAGAGACCCCCTCGGCCCCATGCTGCGGCCCTGGGAGAATGGACAGAGTTGATGACCGGTTTGGCTTGGGGGAGAACCCTGACATCCGGTGGGGCACACCCACGCACGCGCACGCACGCACACGTGTGCACTCGAGTTCATCTTCGAGGCCAAAGCTGTTTAGAGAAGCGGATGACCATGGCAGTGGGGACAGGCCATAAGCTAAGGACGGGCTCGGGACCCCAGACGGAGAGCAGGGCGTGGCTGCTGCGCCCCGACGCCCCCACCCCGCCGGGCCCCGCCATGACCCCAGGAGCAGCTGTGGGCGGGGCGCTGGCGGGAGGTGGCCAGCTCCCTTGTCCTCGGTCAGCACTGGGGCTCCCCTCCTCCAGGGGGCTCCGATGATGAGTCCTGCCCCGGTGGGGTGTCCTTCACCCTTCCCCGGGGAGCCCAAGAGCTGACCAGGCACAAGACTCTGGGGGGCTGCCTGCCTCCCGCTGGCTGGTGCCTTCGCACCCAGGGATGCACCTGGCACCCTTCCTTGCTCGGCTGGGGACGAATGCAGCAGGGGTACCCCTGGGAGTCCCTGGGACACAGCCCTGCACCCCGTCCTGTGGGACCGACGCCCGGCCTCCGGCCTGACAGTCTGGGCAGCTGCTCGGTGCTGACGCGTGCCCAGGGAACGAGGCGCCATGTCCCGCAGGTGCCGTCCAGACGCGTCTGTGGAGCTGGCCGGGCAGCGGGATGGGGCTCTCCTGGCCCTCAGAGCAGATCGGGGCGTCCACCTGGTTCTCAGCACCGGACAGCGCTGGCCCAGAGCGGGGCTCAGCCTAGCTGCAGGCTGCACAGCCCCAGGGGGCTGGCGGCACTGGATGTGGTCAGGGCGTGGACTGGTACGTGTTTGCCGGGCCTCTGACTGGTCCGGTCTGGAGGGGTGGCGGGCTCAGGCCACGGTTTGGTGGGACACTGGCTGGTTTGGGCTGCGGCTTCTTGGACCAAAGTCAGTGGGGACCCAGGTGGTGTCCGGGGTGGCAGCTGGGCCTGGGGGGCGACCTAATGGTTGGCTGGAGGCGGGGCCAGGGGGACAGCCGTGGACAGAGATGTGAGCATGAGGGGCGGTCCCTGGGAAGCCCACCTGCCATCACTATTCACAGCGGCCAGGAACTCAGTGCAGGCAGACCCCTTTGGTCACGGTGGCGCCTTTGGTCACGGGCTTGGCCGGCTCCAGGGGACACTGCGGCTGGAGCCCAGGCTGGGCCTCCCCGCCTCCTGCCCCTCAGGAACCCCCAAGGGGCCCGGAGACCCTGACGGCGTCCGTGTCCAGTGAAGCACGAGGACGCAGAAGGGCCGCTGCGACTCGGACCCCAAACTGTTTTTTCTTTGTAAATTTTGTCGAGCGGGTCACCCACTTTTTTTCTTAAGAAAGGACAAAAAAAAACCAAAACCCAAAACAACCCGGATTCTCCCCTTAGTTGGTGCCTTCCGAGCTGGGACCAGCTGGGCGGGGGCGCTCGGGACCGGGGCGGGGGCGACTCGGTCTCTGCGTCAGTCACTCCTGAGTTTGAGGGGAACTGATACGTGTACCAAAAGGCACTTTCATTTTCTTTTTAAAAACAGTGCTTCTGTTCCGAGAAATTCACGTTGAGACAGA